AAAGGGCTCAGGGCTTAGGTCGTATTAAAAAAGGGTTTGGGGATTATAGGTCGTATAAAGCAAGGGGCTTTGGTAAGCAAGAGCGGGATTTCTTTAGGGGTTCGTTTGTGATAAGGATTCGAAAGTATCGGGGCCTTATGGATTCTTGGATATCGACAGGGCTTTCTCGGGGGTTTCAGAAGGCTTTTGTGGAGTAATTACCTATACTTTTCGGGGGGCTCTGGGTTATAACTATAGTGTCACATACCACAAAACCCTATTCTACTTATGAAGGCCCCTACATGATCAGACTGGTGGTGTGGATGTATTGTTTAGGGTTTAGGGTTTAGGGTTTAGGGTAGTATACTCACCTGCGGACTATGCGAGGGCACTGCTACGAGTGAGACTCGGAGGTCTGAACCCCGGTATTTTTTCGACAGGGGTTATCTGGGTTCTTGTTAAGGGATGTAATTTAAGTTACCATAATAAGGATCTATAGTAAATAATATGGTTTCCTTACTATGGTAACTTAAATTAAATCCCTTAACAAGAACCCAGTTATGGCTTGGGTACTGCCCCCACTCAATAACAGTTGGATAATATTCATATTATGGATATAATAGGCCCTTAATAGTAGCCCTATTGTAGACTGTTACTGTATGGGGGCAGTACCCAAGTTATGGGGGGCTACGACATTGGACTGAGAGGTGTTAGGGGTAATATAGGGGCTTTTATAATCAAAATGGGGGTTTGGGGCCCACTCTACGGAAATTATAACGAGGAGCCCCCCAAATATATACTATAATTTTGATAAGGAGCCCCCCAAAAAAAAATATATACTAGAATTATTACAAGGGTCCCCCAAAATTTTATTGGTAATTGTGTAGGCCCCCCTAAACCTGAAACCCTAGACCCTAAACCCTAAACCCTAAACCCTAAACCCCTACATTATCGGGCTAAAGGGCCTTCGGACTTCTGGGCTGTTTGAACCTTTAGGGCTTTAGGGTTTTGGTAGGGTTTAGGGTGTAGGGCTTTAGGGTTTTGGTAGCGTGGTGGGGCCTGAGCAGCTGCATAATATAGGGGCTTAAAAAATAACCTATACGATGGTAGGGGCTCCTTTTTATAGTTATACTATAAAGGATCCTAAAACCCTGTTCTACTTATCAAGGCCCCTACATTATCCCTACACTCCACCTTAGAAGAACAACTGATGAAGATGCCGAGACTAGCACTGAACACACCCTGCCCGGAACACCACTAGCTCTGAAGCTTACAACACCAAGCACAACTGCATGCCGCATTCCAAAAGCTCAAAAGGCAGTAACTGCCGGGAGTTCTGCATTCAAAATGCAGCGCTGTATCCCTAAACCCTAAACCCTAAACCTTAACCCTACACCCTAAACCCTAAACCCTTAAACCTGTCTTCCGTATTGATCATCTCTAACGGAACATAACACTCTGAACTGTCAGGCGATTGGGGACTGCATGCGCTGCAAGATGGATGACGCTCTGCCGTATGAGCGTTTTGTGCTCATGAGCTTTGCCATTTAGGGGTTTAGGGTTCAGGGGTTTAGGGGTTTAGGGTTTGAGATTTCAGCTGAATAGCTGCAGGGAAGGTGGAGAGCAAACAAAGGCGTCGGAGAGAAGTTGTCGCGCATGTCCAATACCTCGAGCTCACGCAGTCCAGCCCCCCGAACCCCACGAAATGACCCGAGTTCATCTTCTCAAACCACTATAAACCCTAAGCCCTAAACCCTAAACTAGACCCTAAAGCGCCAAGCCGTGCAAGGACAAAGAGCTCCGACTGGGCTCCACGATAATTCAGGCTTCGGAGGATCCTTTGAGTGGGCTGGTGACTCCCAGCACCCGTCGCGCAGAGGCCTGTAGAAGTCACAACATCTGTCATGTTGGGCCCGATGCCTTTTCATTTTCTTACTGGAATGATTATACACATCTAGTATGTGTGTTACGTCCGTAACTGTAATTAAGTTAAGGACACACACACATGAATGTCTACATATCTACACATTATACTAAACATGTGGTAGCTATACATACACACGTACGTACATACATAGACAGACAGACAGACAGACAGACAGACAGACAGACAGACGGACAGATAGACAAACGTACATACATACGTTCATACGTACATTGTGCTACAGTTGCAATACATTGCAATGCATGGCATTACAACACACTACAGTGCATCGCAGTACGTTACACGGTACAACTCAGCACAGTACAGCTCAGCGCAGCGCTAGGCAGTACAGCGCAGCAACAATATGCATACATGCACCCCTGAGTCCATCATGCATCCTCGCATGCTATATACGCATATACATATATATATATATACACACACACACACAAACGTATACATACAGGTGTACAAATACATACATGTCTATGCAAACAAACAAACAAACACACAGACAGACAAACAAACAAACAAACAAACAATCAATCAAACAAACAAACAAACAAACAAACACGCACACACACACACACGCAAGCAACAAACAGACAACACAAACAAACACACAAACAAATAAACAAACAAGCAATGAAGCAAGCGATCAAACCTACATGCATAACTACATGCATGCATGCATACATACATACATACATACATACATACGTGCATACATGCATACATACATGCATGCATACATACATACTTACAAGCATACATGCTTACATGCATGCATGCACACATAAATGACATGTACATATACATAGACATGTACGTATGCATGCACACATATAAAACGCATGTATACTCGTTTGTAATTATGTGTACCTATATATATATATATATATATGCATGAATATGTATGTGTATGTATGTATGTATATATATATATATAGTATGTATGTACATGCACATGTGTGTGTGTGTATATATATATATATGTATGTGTGTGTGTGTGTGTGTGCGTGTCTCTGTGTGTGCACCTGCGCGTATCTATGTATATGTGTATGTATGTACACACACACACATATATATATATATATATATAGATACACACACGCATGTCATATACAATGTTGCTTGTACACAGGTTTGCACATGCATGCGCGTGCTCGCCTATGCTTGCATGTGCACCAGCACCGAAGCACTGAGACATAGGATGGATGCTGTGAGCTTTTGTGCTCCTTGAAGAAACTCGACAGCGGGTATCGCATAGCTCCAAGGACCTTTGCACGGAAGGTCACTCCATCGAAATGAGAAGAACATGAAAGTGATGCAAGCAGTAGCTATGGGTTCTGACTCGACAAGTCCGAACCCCTTCAGGTGACCGTGTCCTACCCAGTGAAGGTAGTCATCTCAGACGATTCGGGGAGGCAGTGGGTGATTCCTGCAGATCGCTCCTGGACAATGCGGGAGGTGAGGATGCATCTCATGGAGCAGTCAGGCTATGCGCTGGAGGAGCAGACGCTGCAGCTACCCGCCCTGGGTCCCGATGGCACCCTCCCGGTGCTCGATGACCTGGAGGCGCTTAAACTTAAACTGGCTTAATCCTAAACCCTGAACCCCATAGGCCCGATAAACCCTACTTCAGCCGAAGCCCTATAAACGCCAAGCCATAAACCCTCTAAGTCTTACGTAACCAAGAACCCCCGAGAACCCGCAAGCCTGAAAGCCCTAAGCCAGGCGGAGCTACACAGTGTGGTCCCAGAAGGGCCGGAGGTCCACCTACATCTCCTCATCGATTTCGGCAAATTCATGGACCGTGAAATTCGTGAAGCACAGCAGAAGCCTATGAGTGAGGAAGCTGGGTTTTTGAAAGGGCCTTGAACTTAAGCTACCAAATTAGGGTTACACAAATATATATATATATATATATATATAAATATATATATATATATACAACAGAGGTGTGTGTGTGTGTGTATATGTGCCTATGTGTTTATGTATACCTATATACATATATATATATATATATACATATATATATATATATATATATGTATATTATATATGTTCATTGTGTGATACGTATCAGGCTTTGCTTTTCTGGGGAAGATACTACTACAGTTCCCCTGTGAGACCAGCCATGCGCACAGTGGCAAACCCCTCCTTAACCTTCCTTTTCAAGGTCCCAGGAAAGACCCCAACCCTCTCAACCCAACGCAAGCACACCCCTAAACCCTATAAGCCCTAAACCCTCTCAACCCAACGCAAGCACTCCAGGAAAGTGAGGAGGAGTTTGCAGAGGTTGAGGAGGCACCGGCCTTGCGCGTGCCTTTCCCATGGGAGTCGCCCAAGAAGCCCGGAAAGCGCAAGGCGAAGATACCGAACGAGGAGATTCCCAATTCCCTTATGGTTCCGTGTTAGGGTTCCTTTAAGGGTTTCTTTTTAAAGGGTTTGGGGTTTAGGGGTTTAGGGTTTTGGGGTTTAGGGTTTAGGGTTTAGGGTTCCCTTAAAGGTTCCTTTATATAGTATCTACCTAGGCTTCAGAGCAGTCCCTATATAGGTACTTTAGGGCCCAAGTATAGACATAGAAGTACATGAGCCCTTAGGGTTTACAACCTACTGATCCAGCTTTCCACGTTATGATTTCGTTGTGTAAGTCTTGAAAGAGGTAGGTTGTTTGTGGTTCAGGTATAGTAATAGCCAGAAAGTTGGAACATCGTTATCCTCATGCTCTTAAAGCAAAGCATAGAGAATCCCAGCACTAATCTTCCTAAGTCCATGTTCCAACTTTCTGGGATTGACTATAGGGCTTACCGAATTTGCGGCTTTGTAGATTTTGGGTTTAATCAGGGTTTAGGGGCTACGGGTTTACGTAAAGCCCTAAAGTGTATGGACCAGAACCCTCACACAAAGTGGTACTGTTGATGATATAAATCCTGCATTCCCTTAAGGCCCCTAAACTATGGGACTTATTGTATATTCCTTCTTCTGGGTAGTGCAGGGTTTATATCACCAACCGTACATCCACAAAGGTACTTCATCCCAGGGCCAAGCTAGCGTACTTACCCTAAGCCCTGAGAAGCCCATGCCATCCCAGAGACTCCAATATCCTTTCACAAAGGAATGTACCTTAAATCTTATTAGGGTTGCCATTATAATTTAAGGTATATCCCTTAATTAAGGATATTGGAGGCTCTGGGATAATAGGGCTCCCTAGTGAACCCTAAACCCTACCTGCAGTCTCCATTGTCGTGCTTTGTCTGGGTTACTTTCTAGGATTTTAGATATGAAGCCCTAAACCCTATACCAGAAAGAGATGCCACTACACTTAAAAAAGACTAAACCCCAAACCCTAAACCCCAACACAGGAGCTACGCTGTAGTCCTAGGGTTGTGCTTACCCGGACGAACTGATCCCGAAAAAAACCCAGAGAGCCAAGACCCCTTAATTAAGGAATATACCTTAAACCATAATATTCATACCTTGAACCACAATATTTATACCTTAAACCATAATAGTAATATCCCCCTATAATTTAGGGTATATTCCTCAGTTAAGGGGTATTGGGCTCTTTGGGAAGCCCTACAAACTCCAGGCCTTCGGTCCATGAAGCCCCAAAACCCGGTGTAAACCCGTACAGAAACGCAGGGTTTATAAGGTTTAGGGTTTAGGGACGTTTCGGGTTACAGTACAGGGGCCTTAATCATTAGACTAGGGTTTGGGGTACATTATACTATAATAGAACAGGGAAACCCCAAGACCCTATTCTAATTACTAAGGCCCGTACATTACAGAAACGCATAAAAACTCAAAAATGTTTTTTCAACCTATATTAGACTCTTCAAAAGCCCAAAAAAGAACCACATTTAAAACAACACGCTATACAGAAAATGCTCATGACACCTGATCTAAACCTAGGTACACCTCTAAAGCCTAAACTCTCGACCCCGGATCCCAAAAAGGCCCGAAGCCCTCACGCCCGCGAGGAGATTTGGAAGTATCCTCCGCACTCCCTGGATTTTACGGGACTGTTGGATCGACACCCAAGGCAGGTTCAGGGTTCAGGGGTTTAGTTCAAGGGACTACAGGAGGGACCCTTAAAGGGACCTTTGGGGCTATATTTAGGGGCTGTATGAGACTATAATGGTTATATATTAGGGTTTACCGCAGGGATGTTTGGGCGATTTAATTTAGGCCTCCATTACGGTCATAGAGGCTGACCCTTAAGTGCACCCTAACTGCTAAAGGTAAACCCTTAACCCCAAACCCTAAACCACCCGAGGCAGGTGGAATTCTCAGCGTTGTTGGCCGATCCCCCCTGGAAGCCACGGGAGCCTTGGACATTGCCGGGCTTGGGGAAAGCTAGTCGAATGACGGGTTTACCGTTTGCGGGGTAGGGGTTTAGTTACGGTGAAGGTTTAGCGGTTTAGGGCTCAGAAACAAGGTTTAAAGGTTATGAACCGTTTCATCGAGATATGTCTACAAACTCCTGTTTAAAGCCCTCTCAGGACGATTAATTCATGCCACCTGTCGTCAGAAGTCCTCAGCCTGATAGCCGTGTGGCAAACTTTCACTCCAACAGTCTCAGCGTCTTTCATTCAAAGCTTCGCCCCAAGGTTTAGGCTTTAGGCTTTAGGGTTTAGGGTTTAGGAAGATCGTCTGAGCGCTTTGCCCATGTCTATTCTCGCAGTTGGCTTCTTTCGAACTTGCGGATCATGGTTGGCAGGGTCCTTAAAATTTGCAGCTCCCACTGGAAGCCCTAAAGCCAAAAGCAAGCCAAACACATGGGTAGTTCTCTAAATTAGGGTCCCTTCTTAGGTCCCCAAAATAGTACGGCACGCTTATACAAAGGAACCCCAAAAGGGACCCTAGTTTAGAGAACTACCCACATACTTGTAACCAGTGCCCCCGTGACAAAACCCGCTATATATTCTGGGAAAAATCCTTCGACCACTCCGTGATATCGTGTAGGCGAAACCTCAAGCCCTGGGCCATCCCACCCCTCACCGCGCCTCCTCCAGACAAAAGCCAAGAGAGAGAGAGAGAGAGATCTACTTTCAACCCTCAACAGCAAGGTTTTAGAGGTTTGGGGTTGAGGGTTTAGGACAACTCTCAACAGAATCGTTAAACGTTCAGCGTTTGGGGTTTAGGCCTCGGCTTTCAGCCCTAAGCAACGAAAGCCCTAAACCCTAAACTCCAAAAAAGGAAAGAGAGCTCAGGAGCCCCTGTCCGAGCCTTCACCAGACGACGGCGTCCAGGCGAAGTCCGGAAGTCCGAGGTGCCTCCAAGTAGAGCCTTCAGCGTACCGGGTATGGGATTCAGAATGTCGGGCTTTGTGGGTTTTGGGGTTCGGATTTGGGAGCAGAGAGAAAGACCCGGAACTTGGGTGTTGGTTTTTTGCTTGTTATAGGGTTTAGGGTTCAGGGCTCAGGGGATGGGAAGAATCAAGGAACACAGTACTAATTACAAAAAACTGTACGGAAATCCTTTGTAATCTCGATAACCCCAAACCCTAAACCGGGGTCTAGGCTTTGACAAGTGCATTCAGGTTGAGTACTTGGAGTTGAGAAGTGACAGCAGTGAGGGTTTACGGTTTTGGTGGGGTGGAGTTTGGAGCTTGAAGCAAGAATTCGCGTTGAGGCTTGCGTGACTGTAACAAGAAGGTTTTTACGCTGAAACCCGAGAACCATCGAAACCCTGGAGGCGAGAGCTGGTGAAAAGAGCCAAGAGAGAGCCCTGATCCCCGAACTCTCGAGGTTTCCTGTTTCTTAGCGACTGGTCAGGTGGGGCGTTTGGGAAGAAGAGGCAGAAGAGGAGGCAGACGAGGAGGTAGAGGAGGAGCAGTCAGAAGAGGCGGAGGAGGCAGAGGAGGAAGAGGAAGAAGCTTTGTCATAGTTGGGTAAGATTTTACATTTTTAAGGGTACTTAAACCCAATAAGGAATATAGATATAAATTGTTAACACTACCCCAACCATGAACTAGGAAGAGGAAGAAGAGGCCGACGGCTCCGATGGTAGCAGAGAGAGCTCGGAAGACCTGGGCAGCGAGACGGGCCTGGCGAGGGCGATGGCTGGGGACTCAGAGCACCCTGGTCCAAAGTCCCACAAGGAAGGCACGAGGGATCCGCGCGAAGAGATGCTAGATCGATTTCGGGCGCTCTTCCGTTTGAATGTTCTTTGTTGTATTTCAAGGCATATAGATATAAGCATGCCGAAGGAACAGTATTTTAGATATGCATGGTGGTTCAAGGGCATCTTACTACTAATTTAGTACTATGCGAACACAGATAGAGCTTCTGGGATGGGCACCCCGAACCCTAAGGGTCCATGTACCCAAATAGATATACTTTGGCCTTAAAGTGGTCCCTATAGAAGCACTTTGGGGCAAATGTATATACTATTTGGGTACATGGACCCTCAGGGGAAGAGCAACGCAGCCTAGGAAAGATGAGGCGCAGGATCAGTTGGTGGCCGTGCCGGAACCGGGCTCTTCAAGGCGTCGGCGGGGTCCACAAGCCAAGGAGCAGAACGAGGACGGGTCACTCTCAACGGTGTAGGGTGTGTATCTTACAGGGTTTAGGGCTTAGGGCAGCTAAACCTGAGCTGTCGGTTTCCAGCAGCCGAGTAGAACCCTAAACCCAAATCCTAAACCCTGAGCCCTACACCCTAAACCTAGCTCAACATCAAACATGTTGACAAGCCTGGCCGGGAGCTGGCTAGCACAGCAACACTACATTGGATGTGTGTAGCATTCGCAGTGAAGACCCCAAACCCTTTCAAGCCTCCCTCAAACCCTCCTAAACGAAGGGATGGAACAATGAATAAAGTATATACGACTGTCCGCGCCCAACCCTTCTTCTGGTCAAAAGCACATAAACCCATTATAGAACCGTGCTAGAACCATTCTGACTTATAGAAATCCTTATGCCAAGAACCCTTAAATCACCCCTATTCTAGCTACTAAGGCGCCTATAGATCACCCGTGTCGAGGTCGGTTCCACACCATCAAACGACGAACGCCTCTCCTCTCAGGGCTCTGGTAGGCTGGCATCCGATGCGAGCCTGGGAGCCTGGGTTCTTGTGAAGTAGTTTAGTTTGAGATACCCGAACCCTTACCCTCTAGGGACTCATATTTTAAGGCTTTGGGCCCAAAGACCCTATTCTATAAGGCTTTCGGGCTATGTTGATGCTAAGGGTAATAAGGCAACCATATAATTTGCTACTATAGACCATAGTACGGCGACTTGAGTTACGCTCCTTAGCAAGAGCCCAGGAAACACGGGACACATCTCCCGCTCGCTGGTGGCCTGGCGGCAGACCGCTTAGGATCAAAGATGGCAGCCGTATCGAAGGATTCGGTGTTAAGTTTTGATATTATTGTAGTTTCTAGACTTGCTTCCCTAACCCTCCAGGTGCCTACACTATAGGGCCCTAGGGCCTCTAGTACCCTATATAGTAGGTACCTGGGGGGTTAGGGTTTATTGGGGAGTTTGTATTTAGTCGGTGCTTGGATCCTCAGGCTGGGATTTGCATGTTATGGCTGTACCTTAAGAACCCAAAACCTACTTTTTGTAGGGTCCCTATAAATCCCATATTAGGGTTTATAATAAGGACCTACAAAAAAGTGGGTTTTGGGTTCTCAAGGTATGTACACATGCAAAAAGTGCGGCGAGATCTACGCAATTGCCATACTGCAGACCATTGTTTTATAAATTATAGCAGTTCTGTGGAATGCAGTGGGCTTTGGGTTCCAGTGGCAACCTGTTCATGTTAGTTTGTTATCCTGGCCAGAACCATTCAGAGAAGCTTTCGCCCTCCTCTCCAAGTTTCGCATGAGAGCCATGCCCCCGCCGACACCTGCAACCCCATCCTAACTCGATGCCGTTTTCAAATTACGAAAAATTCTGCTCCTAAGCAAAACTCTCCGCCCTAAACCCTGAACTTTAAGCCTTCGACCCTAACATCCAAAGGTGCAGTGGGGCGGCTTTCAACGTCTCCGCGATTCTGTGGTCCCGGGACCCGGAACCCTTATCTTCGTGAACCCCAAGGACCGCCCAGCATTTGGCAGTCTAGCTGTTCCAATGAGGCAGACAGAGACCGAGAGAGAAAGAGAGAGCGAAACCCCTTCCTCAGGCCTGCAGAAAGAGAGAAAGAGAACGAGAGAGAGAGAGAGAAGGAGAGACAGAGCGATGCGTGTGCGTGCGTGTGTGTGAGTGTGCGTGCTTGTTTGCTTGTTTGCTTGCTTGTTTTCTTGTTTGTTTGTTTGTTTGCTTGTTTGCTTGTTTGTTTGTTTGCTTGTTTGTTTATTTGTTTATGTGTGTTGTGTCTGTGTGTCGGTGTGCATCCTGGTCGACACGCCCGAGTGCGAGGTGCAGAGTCGGCTCAGCAGTTCAGTGCTTGTTGTAATAGAGGGACCTAAATAATTACCTATATCATTTTGGGGGGTTCCGTATTATATATATATAGTATTATGGGCCCCACAACCCTCTTCTAATTATTAAGACCCCCATTGGACATGTCTTTGATGATGACACCTGCCGAGTGCAAGCAAGTTGGCAATCCTAGTGACTAGCTGCCAGTGCCGCTAGATTCTGCAAGATGCTGGAGTCCGTTGATCTCACATCTTTTCTTGGCGCATGCACCTTGATTGCTCTGGTGTTCATATTGATATCGATATTGATATTGATACCGACATTGGTACAGGTATAGGCATAGATAGAGATTTAGATACAGGTATGAACAAGCCTTACAGATATTGGTTCGCAGACACCATCAACGCCGCAGTCGCCGCGTACGTTGAAACCGCTTAAGCCTTAGCCCCCACCATCCTTGAGCTGTGTTGCGAAACCTAACCCCATCAAACCTTAAACAGTGAACCTTGTCACCATCTTAAACTCTAAACCTGCGAGACAGAGCCTTATCCATGGCCTGCTCCAGGATCACCCGAGTAGATCTCATCACTCTCTTAGACTCTAAGCCTGCGAGACAGAGCCTTTGCCATGACCTGCTCCAGGATCACCCGAGTGGCAATGCCACCAAGCGCGCGTTGAGGCAGCGTGGGCTCTCCAATAAAGCATGCAGCCAGTAACTACTGCCAAGCTGTATTTGCAGAGAACCCTAAACCACAACTATATTAATGCCAGCTTCGTCCCTGATTCATAGTCAACCCGAAACCATAATAAAACCCTTAACAAAGTTCCCCTGAACCTTCGTTAGGGCATCGGGTGCCGAGATACTGTAGTAGGTTACTGGGTTTCATATAATGTATCCTACAAGCTAGGCATCCGGAATCCTCTACACTCAGACTTGAGGCGAGTAAACAAAACCTTAGGTATAAATGTAATGGAGGAACTCTCATATTACTCTTCTGGACTAGACCCCCTGCAGGAACCCTTAACGGAACCCTTAAGCCCCAAACCCTAAATCCCAAACCCCAAACCTTAAACCCTGAACCCCAAACCCTACGCCCTAAGGCCGAAGCCCTAAACCCCTAAACCCTAACCCCTAAACCCTATACCCTAAACCCCAAACCCTACACCCTAAGGCCGAAGCCCTAAACCCTAAATCCCAGGCGCCAGAGGCTGCAGGACTCCCGCGCAGAACATGCAGACGCGTGGTCGCATGCGGTGCCTTGGGCAATGAACTCATGATTTAGGGTTTTTAGTTTGAGGATTAGGGCTTAGGGTTTAAGGTTTCCAGTTTAGGACTTAGGGCTTATGGTGTCAGGATTACGGGTTTTGTGGTCTTGGGCTTTATAAGATGTAGGGTTTCGGGCTTTCGGGTTTGGGGAGTTTGGAGTTTAGGGTTTTGGGGTTTGAGGCTTTATCTAGTAATTTTCCGGCTGAAGAAACAGGTGCAACACAGGGCATAGGCTCTAGAAGCTAGCATAGAGGTTTAGGGCTTCGAAACTAGCATAGTGGCACGGTGCATTCTCGAGAAGGAGCAAAGAAAGTGTAAGTTTGACGGCCTCCACGAACACACCAACTTCCGGTCTAGTTCATGTTTGTGGATGCTTACCCTCTGCCCATAACCAATCCTAAATCTCACAGCCCTATACCTTAAAGCAGTTTCGTATTTCCCGGATGATATGCTTTATAGAGCTGTAAGCTTGGCATTCTGGGGCCCAGGATCTGTAGGCAGTTCAAAGATGCATGTATCATGTAGGGGCCTTAATAGTTGGAATAGGGCTTGGGGATCCCTTAGGGTACGTCATAAGAAGGAACCATAAGGAACAACATTGGTAAGTATTCAGGCCTCCGAAGGACCCTAATTAAACCCTATCTTGGTGATCAGGGTTACGCCATGTTAAACCTCAAGCCATAAACATCCAAAAAACCCTAAACCCCAAACCCTAAACCTAAACCCCTAAACCCTAAATCCAGACTTCTGCGGGAGGAAGGGGCCATTGCACTTTAAAAAAAAACCCAAACCTAAATCCTAAACCCTAAACCCTAAACCCCGCACCCCGATAGGCTCGGGGATTCACGACTCCCCTGAGGCGAGCAGCAACCGAATTCAAGCAGAGCTTCGCCAGGAGGTACTCCAGGACTTTAGGGGTTTTGGAATTGAGGGTTTAGGGTTTAGGGTTTAGGGTTTAGGGTTGAGGGTTTAGTAAGGTTTAGAGTTGAGGGTTTAGGGTTGAGGGTTTAGGGTTCAGCGTTTAGGGTCTTTCGTCCTCTGAGTGTTTGAGGACTTTAGGGCTGAGGGTTTTCAGGGTGTTGTGGTGTTGGTACCTTTTGCTGATCTTGTTTTGCTTTCTGAATTGTAGCTGTTCTCTGCTTTTCTTCTGGATCTGTGTAGCTGTGTTTTGAAACTCCCTAAACCCTAAACCCTAAACCCTAAACCCTAAACCCTAAATCTCCTCAAGCCTAAAGCCCACACCTTCATCCCCAAGCCTGAACTAACACTTGCCAAAACCGGAAGCCTCACCCTCAGTCCAAAATTCCCCTAAACCCTAAACCCTAAACCCTAAACCCTATAAACCCTAAACCCTAAATCCTAAACTGCGGTCCCACTATTGAGCCCTTGAGGATCCCGAATGGCACCCTTTGCGTTATGGTACCCTTGCCCCTAAACCCTTATAAACCCTGAACGCAACACCGTAAACCCTAAACCCTCAGCCCTAAACCCCTAAACCCCAAACCCTAAACCCTTACAAACCCTAAACCCTAAACCGTAAACCCTAAACCCTAAACCCTAAACACTTACAAACCCTAAGCCATAAACCCTAAACCCTAAACCGTAAACCCAAAACCGTAAACCCTAAACCCTAAACCCTAAACACTTATAAGCCCTAAACCCTAAACCGTAAACCCTAAACACTTACAAACCCTAAACCCTAAACCGTAAACCTTAAATCCTAAACACTTATAAGCCCTAAACACTTATAAGCCCTAAACCCTTAAAGGAACCGAAGCGTACCCGGACGGCAGGAAATCCGAAAAGCAGCATCCGAAGCCGAGGCAGACAGCACTGCAGATAAGGGTTGGGCTAGGGTTTCCAAGTTAGGTTTAGGGTTTACAGGGCTCAGGGGTTTAGGACTTAGGAGTTTAGGGGTTTAGGAGTTTAGGGTTTAGGGGTTTAGGGGTGAGGGTTTAGGGGTGTAGGGTTTAGGGGAGTTTTTAAGGCTTCCTGTTAGCCTTTACTAGGGAGGGATTAGAACCGTTATGCTCTTTTTCGCGGAAGCATTTGGCAGTATTCGCTTAGGTCACCTTAGGTCCGGAGATTGCGACGACAGTTAACAGTTCTTTGCATATGTGTAGGTATATATCTCTATGTAAGGTTATGATAGTATATGTTTCTATTTGTATGTGTATGTATGCATGTGTATGTAACCTTTGCATCTTGGCAAGGGGTCGTCGTCGGATAGAGCATAAAGGTTCAACGCACATAGGGGTTGTCTGGTTGAGGGCGTTTGGGCGTAGGCCTCAGGGTGTAGTTAGGAGTCGCCGAATTTGGTGCGACGCCCGGATAGTGGATGTGACTCTTGCGACCCGCGGCCGATCTAACATAGAAGGACGAATATAGTCAGTCCTTCCGGCTTCCATGATATTCTTATACATTAGAACTGTTAAGCACCCCAACAGCCCTATTCTAGTTAATCAGACTCCTATGTCACATCCATCTCAGCTCGCTTGCTAGTTTTTTTCAGGCTGTCGACCCTTGTCTTGATGTAAGGATGCCTAAACAACAGAAAAGCCTTCATCCACCTTAATCTGTTGCTTCTGCGTCCAATGCGAAGGTCGGACAATCTGAACCACCTGATCCTGATGTAGGGCCTCCGACTTTGACATGGGTGTTCGTAACACTATCCCGTCACAGTCATCACTATTAAACCACCGGCCGCATCCATATTGCATTGTATGCCTTTGTGTGCAGTGTCTTGCCAGACCCCCAAACCCCAACACCCATCGCCAACCCAAAAGCCCTAAATCCTAACACCCCCGCACCCTCCAGCCTAACACCCTAGCCGTAAAAAGCCTCGACCGAAAGGTCTAAAAACGTCATGCAGCTGCCTAAGTCGAAACAGAAACTCTGCACAGGAATCCGCCCCTCTGGAGCCGGAGGAGGTCCGGTGTTAACAGGTTTATGCCTGTAGTTGTGTATAGAGTTTCTAGTTTATAGGTTAGACCGTCTTCGCAGGGCTTGTGCTTCAAATCTCAAAGTTTATGAGACTTATACAGTATAAGTCTCATAAACTTTGACATTTGAACAGTATAAGTTATACTGTTTAGAACTCATAGGTTCTGTGCGGTAGCGCTGGTAGGGTCTGTACTTTAGTGCTCGAAGGGTGCACGAAAATGGGAGCCCAAGGCCTGAAACTGCGTGACTGGGTTCAGGGTTTTAGGATTTAGGATTTAGGGTTTAGGGTTTAGGGTTTAGGGTTTAGGATTTCGGGTTTAGGGGTTCGGATTTCGGGTTTCGGGGTTTAGGGTTCAGGCTTCAGGGTCCAGGATTTAGGGTTTACCGGGTTTGGGAAGTTTGCTTGCACCTGGCTTTTAACTTGACGGTGTTGGAATCAAGGGTAAACTCCCCACCTGTACTTTCCGTTAATGAAGGTTCTAGGGCAGTTTGTAATGATAAGTGTTGCAGAGGGACCTTGAGATCCAGGATGATGCTTGATATAGGGGCCTAAATAATTACAAA